GGCTCTGTCTCAAAAAAAAAAAAAAAAAAAAAAAAAAGGGATGAGAGGTGGAGGGGAAGAAGGTAATCTTGAAAAACACACATTAAACATAAGCCTGTGTGTCTGAAGCAGGTTGTAAAAATTTCAAAGCCCTATTTGGGACATCTAAAATTGCAAATAGACTTGAGTCAAGAAACAGGTGCTCCAAGAGCCTATCTGAAGTGCATCATGACGCTCAGATGACTCATCTGAAGAAGGAACACAAACTGGTGAATGCTTATACAGTATCATGGAAAATGGTCATTAGACTTCAGATTTACCCTCTCCTCCTTTTCATTTGAATTAAGGAAATGGAAAATACATAAAGCTAGTGTTACATTTGAGTAATAGAGAATGGGAAGACTAGGTGGGTGAGTATTAACCTAGTGAGAAAGTATCTTTGCCTACGCAATGTTAAAGATGTATTGGAGAAGTTTAGTTTAATCAACATTTACAAAATGGTGACTTTTCTAACTTTTTTGACTGCAGTCCATAGTAAAATATTTTAACAATACACACACACACTTTTTTTTTTCTTTTTCTTGAGACACAGTCTCACTATGGTGCCCTGGGTAGAGTGCAGTGGTGCCACAGCTCACAGCAACCTCCAACTCTTGGGTTTAAGCAATTCTCTTGCCTCAGCCTCCCAAGTAGTTGGGACTACAGGCGCCCACCACAATAACAGCTATTTTTTTTGTTGCTCTTGGTTAGCTGGCCTGGGTTGGGTTCAAACCCTCCAACCTCAGTTTATGTGGCTGGCACTATAATCACTGTGCTATAGGCGCAAAGCCAAAATGTTTGGGGTTTGTTTTTTTTTTAATACTTCTGTGGGCTCGGCGCCTGTGGCTCAAGTGGCTAAGGCGCCAGCCACGTACGCTCAAGGTGGCGGGTTTGAGTCCAGCCTGGCCTGCCAAACAACAATGACGGCTGCAACCAAAAAATAGCCGGGCGTTGTGGCAGGCGCCTGTAGTCCCAGCTACTT